TTAAATTTAAATTTCTCTTCTTTTAAATTTGAGTTTCTTAAAAGAAAATGTCTATACTAAAGATTAATAAGCTTTTGGTCTAATGATATTATTTGTCTTGTAAATATTTTATCTTTTGAAATCAAGGGTTCAAGTCCCCTTCCCTTTCTTCCTCCCCTAAAAAAAAAAAGAAAGGTTTCCATTGAAAATCAGGGCCGGCGCAACAGTATGGAAAAAAAAATGAAAATTGGAAGTGAGTCTTCCTAGTTGTACTTGTTTGGAGATAAATCCTGCAAAGAAACTATAAGAAACTAAGTCCATATTTAAAATTATATGTAATGACTTAAATCCACTTTTTTTTTTATCTCAAAATATAATTTTTTGAAAGGAAGTTACATTAATTTCTTATTTTGGATATAGTTATCCCTTAATTCAATGTCATTTAAAATTCAAATTCAAAGTTCACTCTCTCTCTCTCTCTCTCTCCAACCAGCTAGTGGCGTTGTTTCATCAATGTTCATCTTTTAATTTCTATGAATTATGTCAATTTTGTGGGTAACGGATAAGAATATCTAGTCCTTGTTAATTTTTTATTTTTGTAATTTGTGGTATTTTTTGTAGGGGTTAATTTGTTAAATTGAATGTTTCATATTACTATTTTTTTTATTATGTTACTATTATTTTGAGCATGTTACTTTTTTTGTTAAGTATGTTACTAATATTATTATCCTAAATATTAATATTCAATGTTATTTTTTTTTTTTAGAATATTACTATTTTTTTTGTGTTTTGAATGGTACTATTTTTTGCGTTTGAATTTGAGAGAAATAATTATTATTAAATATATTACAATTTTTGTTAAGCATGTTAGTATTTTTTGTTGAACATGTTGCTAATGTTATTTTTAAAAATATTAATACTGAATGTTTCAATTTTTTTATGTTTGAATGTTACTATTTTTTTTGTATTTAAATGTATTATTTTTTTATGTTCAAATGATAACTTTTTTTTGTATTTGAATGTTAATATTTTTTATTTTTAATGTTATTATATATATATAAACTCTTAACCTATATATAGATATAGATAGATATAAAAGAGAAAAGATTTTAATGTCAGTCAAACTCCTAAAATTTAAAAGTTTTTAATTTTTAGTTTTATTTTACTTCTAAAGAGAAGGGATAGTATGGTAAAATTAACAAAAAACGGATTTCATAACAAATAAGTTTTCTTGACGGATTTAAGTCCAGACAATTCCATATAGGGGAACCGGCCTCCAAATTTCCTAAAAACAAAATATGGGTTTTACGCCCCAAATTTTTAAAAAAATCTCATAATTTTAGGTATATCATTAACCCACAAAAAAAAAATTAAATCTATTAAATTTTAAGCCCTACAAAAAATCCCCCAAAAAATTAAATCAATCAAAATTTTATTACAATAATTTGGGTTTATAATCCAATCCATAACATCAAAAATTTAGAAATTAAAAAATAAAAATAAAATACTTAAAAGTCAACTCATATTTACTCACACCACTCTCTTTCTCTCGTATAAAAAATAAAAAAAAAAACAAAAGTTGAAATCAAATATTCTCTCTCCCTCTCTGTGATAAAAAATAAAAAAAAAGTTGAAATTTCTTTCTCGACAATATTAAAACATCATTTTTTTTGTCTCCCTCTCACATAAAAAATTAAACTAAATTAATTTTTTTTTTTAAAATAATACTAAAAATAAAAAAACATTTATTTAATATTTCCGTTTTAGATCTCAAATTGACTTAAGCCGCCCCGTTGAAAATGGTCTTAGCGTGAAAGTTTGGCATAAAATTTATCGTTTAATATGGTTACACCACCACCACATACTTCAAAAAAAACGTTTACACATGAATGGGAAATTAAAGAAAATAGACATGCAAGTAAACCTTTTTTTGTTCGGACATTCCATTTGATTTGAACCATATGAAAACTATGGTTCAATTCACATTATCTGCCTTGTGTGGTAGGAAGAAATTCGAAATTATTTAGAATCCCATGGAAGAGATTTTAAGTTGGCCCATATAAAATCTATTTTCATATATATAATGAAACAGAACCAATAATCAATTTTCAAGGACAAAACCCCAGTGTTGGTAACGTATACGAAAATAATCATCAATTACATTTCTATCTTTTACAAGTAAATATTCAATGTACTGGTTATATCATGTCACTCTCATCACATAATATAACCGACTAATAATAATAAATAGGATAAGTGAACCCAACTAATTCGTGCATGGTACTTTTGAATGTAAAAATTATTAGTGATTAAGTCGACGCACTGGTCATACACCTCATTCATAAGTGATGACCATCTTCATTATTTTTCCTTGAAAAGTACAACTTTATTTTCTCCACTAGATGTTCTGAAACATCTGAGATTTAGGATTAAGGTTTGGTAGAGAGTTTCTCTCTCTCTCTCTCTCTCTCTCATAACGCAAATCCTCCTTTCATGGTTTGTGTTCGTCTTATTCTTAAATATTTTGTAAAACGTGACAATTTATTTTAGTGATTGGTTTAGATTTATTTTTTGAAATCATAACTTTTTAAGAAAATTTTACAAATAGAATAAAACAATTCAATTGATATAAAAGACTAGGTATGCATCGCTTTTAAATTTTGACATTAAAAAAAAAAAGAAGAAGAAGAATAAATCTTAATAAAAAAATATCATATTAAAAAATAAAGCTCTTTTTGTTTTCTTTTTAGCCACAATCATATTGGGTCTTGAAATACACCACCGAAAAAATATCATATTTTCAGTATCATAATTAGACCCATTAAATATAATAATTTTTAAAACCCCTGAAAATGGATAAAATATTCAATATAACAGTGACACCATATTATTATATCATCACGTAATATAACTATTCATAAAAAAATGGACAAAATAGATAAAGTAAACCTTACCAACCTTGGATGTTGAATGTGGTTTTGTTATTGATATTTATAAAATAGCAAAAAATTAAATTTACCATTTATTTTTGTAATTAAAAATACAATTACGTGATAATAGTAATAACATGATATTTGCATTGGATATTTAGTGAGAATGGGTCAGTCTTTGTTTGAATTCTTTTCAACAGAACGCCTCCAAATAATTTCAGCCCACATCTTCTAACCGACAACATGCCTCAAATCTACTTTTCAAAAAAAAAAAAAAAAACAGACCTACGACATGCGTCAAATCCGTTTACAATAATCCCCGAGGCTGTCGGAAGTTGGAACGACCAATTTTATGTAAAACTTATTTCATTTGATAAATAATATTAGCCTAAAAATCTGATCAATAGGTTAAATTTAACAACGTATCGAGTGATATAATTCTCTTAAACAAAATTTAATAATTCTAATTATAAATAATACTTTTATATAATTTAAAATTTTAATCTAATTAATTAAATAACATATGATGTGTCGAGTGGTATAGTCTCTCTAAAAAAATACTAATAATTGCAAGTAGAAAAATCCTATTGAATGGTGTCAACTCCCTTACAATAATATATAATGTTATTATTTACCCAAAAAAAATAATATGATGTTACTTAAATTTAATTTATTAATCCAATTTATTGACTTAATCAATCACATATTAAATTGATAGTAAATCCAAATATTATGTGAGACTTAGTACTATTGAAATAATTGTGTTGAGTTTGGTCAACAAAATAGATCTAAATAATATTATTGTTATTTTGCAAATGAATCATATCAACTAGCATATCATCATTAAATTAGTATTTTTGGTAAGATTTTTTTAAGTCTATTTAGTATTTTTTTTTTAAGAATATTTTTTTTTTGATTTAAATATCTAATCTAGTAATGTGTCAAGTAATATACTTAGAATGAAGAATGCCGACAATTATAATTACAACACTGACACAGAGAAATAGGGAGCACAAAAGAATATTACAATTTCTTATGTATCCGGTCAAAAGGAAAACTATGAATCCACATAGATAATAGATAAAACTCTAAAATATGATTTTATTGAATGAATAATTTGCAGTACAAATGAGTAGTATAAATAGGAATGGTCAAAAACTATAATAATTCTCGTAAAACAAAATCGCTAACATTATGAAAATTATAAAAAATAAAAATATGTGATTTTTTGTATTAACATAAAAGTACGTGTCGTCTAAGAGCTTAACAAAACTAATTGCGTTGAATTCAAAATCTAATATGATTTATTATTAATTTATGAAATCTTTCTTGAAACGATTAAAATGCAGTTTTGAGAACTTAAACGGTGGAATTCAGCCTAAAGTTGAAGGGGTACATGGCAAAATAATGAGTCCTGACCGTTGGTTTGGTTTGAATCAAACACCATTAGTCTTACGGATTTCTGAGTCTAACTCATTTTGTCTTTAATTATTATTATTATTTATTTTGATTGTGCTTTGAAAGCACGACAATTAACCTATTCCTACATCAAATTATTGGACTATATCAAATAGCACATTATTAAATCATGTTAAACTTATAGGTCGCATTATCATTACTTCGTATGTAAAGGTCCAATGGCATTTAACTTCTATAAAATGGTGTATGGGGTGTAATTTTCAATCCAATTTTTAAACGACCATAACTGTTGAAAGTCAACAGTCGAGTCATTTGGCCACGTCTTCGATGGATCATGTGTTTCACAAGTGACTTGAGGATCTCAGGTTTTTCACTATTGATTCACGCTGTCCTTTTCATGCACAAACTAGTATAAAAAGGCTATAGCCAATACTACGAACCAGCAAGCACACAAGCAACCATTACAACACCCCTCTCTGAGCCAGCAGGCAATCACACAAAGCACAAAAGATCATGAAGATCAACAATAACACCTTAGTCACTTCCTTCAACTCCTCAACCCTATTTCAGGGCTCTCAAGACATGGTCTCAATTGAATTACCATTAATTCTTTTGAGCTTTTCCTTCTCTACTGTTCTTCTCACGGCTTTGTTGTTCTTTCTTTTTGTCAAGAACAAATCCAAACCCATTGGTAACAAGAGCAAATTACCACTTCCTCCTGGCCCAAAACCATGGCCGATAGTTGGAAATCTCCCCGAAATGCTCTCAAACAAACCATATCCCCCATGGATACACAACCTTATGGATGAAATGAACACTGAAATAGCTTGTATTCGTCTAGGAAACGTTCATGTTATTACAGTTACTAGTCCTGAATTGGGACGAGAGTTCTTGAAGAATCAAGATGCTATTTTTCTCATCTAGACCCATTTGCATGGCCGCTGATCTTGCTAGTAACGGATACTTATCGGTACTCTTGTCCCCTCCGGCGAACAATGGAAAAAAATGAGGAGAATCCTCGCTTCTGAGGTGCTTCTCCGGCGAAACACCGGTGGCTTCAAGGCAAAAGAGACGAAGAAGCTGATAACCTTGTTCGTTACGTGTATAACCAGTGCAAAAACCACCATGGAAGGCGGAGTAGTGAATGTGAGAATTGGCTACTCAGCATTACTGTGGTAATGTGATAAGAAAATGATCTTTGGAAAGAGGTTTTTCGGAAAAGGAATGGAAGATGGAGGACCAGGGTTGAAGAGGAAGAGCATGTCGCCGGGCTTTTTCACCATTCTTAGGTACCTTTATTTTTGGTATCTCTGATTATTTACCATGTTTAAAGAGGGTTTGACATAGATGGGCATGTGAAGA